CCAAAAAAAGTGTGGGTGTCCAATGTAGCCGCTAAAAAGCATGAGTTCTTATTAAAAAGTTGTAAAACTTTAAATATGCTTTTTATTTCCCATAACTAATACTCACTATACATGCTTTACATTTTGAAACTGTACAAATATTTATTCTCACAGTATCCCTATAGGCAGTGAATAGCATTAGCCCCATTTTGTACATAGGGAAATGGAGGTAAAGTGGTGATGTAACTTGCTTAAGGTCACAGGTGGCCAGTGGCAGAGCTACGATTGAAGTGAGGAGTCCTTGTGCTCAAACTGGTTGGCCATGCTGCCGTCAACTTTTTAAATGTTAAGTGGGTTTTAATTCTTCAGTTGGCTTGGGAAATTGTCACTTAGGCCTTGTCTACATAGGGGATTGACTGGAATAAGCTGTTCTGAAATAGCTCCCCATGTGGACACACTCTTCTGGAGTAAGTCACTTGATGCTGGACTAATCACTGTGCTTATTCCACAATAAATATTCCAGTCAATTTCCATGCATAGACAAGGCCTTAGCTTAGCAAGCAGTTAGCAGCTGACATTGACAACATATGCTCTTATTTCAGAGTAGCAGCCGTGTTAGTTTGTATTCACAAAAAGAAAAGGAGGACTCGTGGCACCTTAGAGACTAACCAATTTATTTGAGCATAAGCTTTCGTGAGCTACAGCTCACTTCATAAGTGAGCTGTAGCTCACGAAAGCTTATGCTCAAATAAATTGGTTAGTCTCTAAGGTGCCACGAGTCCTCCTTTTCTTTATATGGTCTTATGTTTGGCTGTTATCTAAATTCTTTTGGTTGAAAAGGTTGCTGTAAAAACTATAAGGCAGGGATAAGACTTGTTTTGTGTACCTTGGAGTTGTCTAAAGCTATATTTTAAACCTTTACCTTGACTTTTGATGATCCAATGTAGGTTTCCACAGATATGGAAGTAGGAACTGAAACCTCGCAACTGAGATCCAGAGTACTAACAAATTTACAATGATTTCTGCTTTTGTGGAAACAGGTACTGGATCTTCAGATACATAAGGTAAGGATTTAAAATACTGTATAAACTCTTATTTTAACTTTTTTGCAAATGTGACCTCCTTTTTCTACAGAACAAATCAAAACAGCCACCAAGATGAGAGAATTTTTTAATTTTTTTTTAATCTTGGCTGTTCACCATGACTAAGGTTTTAGATTTGTCACTGCATTTTTATCAAAAATCAGAGTAGTCACAATAAATTTAGTAAAAGTCAAGGATTTTGTGCTGATTGATTAAAAAATTCTGTGACAAATGAAATTCAGCTGTACCTTGCTATAATCATAGGCCAGCATCCTTCTCCTCTGCTCCTGCCTCCTTGCCATGACCACCCACAGCAGCACCCTCTGCCCTGGCACTAAACACTAATCCTGGCATGGTGAAAGGGGACGGCCTGAATGGGAGGGGAGGTTGTGCTGGAGAGAGAGTGAGCCTGACCACACTCGCCCCAGATGACAGCAGCTCTTGTCCCATGGGTCTGGGTCTGGGAGTTGAGTGTGAGCCCGACCTCACTCACTCCAGGCGTGAGCAGCAGTGAGTGTTGCTGCAACTCTGTATCAGGCCACAGTGCCACTCACTCAAATATCTGGCCATACCCCTGCTGTGCGGTGAGTGTGGGGCTGGCTTACTCTCTGACACTACCTCCCCTCTGGACCAATGGGGTGTGACCTACCTAGAGCCTTCCCACATTGAAATCATTGAGAAACAAAGAAGTTACGGTATCCATGACATTCTCACCCCTCTGACAAATCTTTAAGCATGACCTATGAAATCAATAGGGTCTTAGTCCAGCTTCGACAGGTGTCCATATAACAAACTGCAACCACATTTGACACTAAATAGCCCTAACTGGCCCTCACTGGCAATTTCAGCAGCAAGGGCAAGGATTTCAGTGGGCAATGATGATGAGCTCTCCTTTCACACTTAGAGATGGCCCCTTTGGGTCAGGAGTGAGGTGCAAGCAGCCAAGGAGGTATAAGGGAACTCACAGTATCTCGGCCTGGTCACTGGGTCAGTAGCATCTAGAGCTGTCTAACAGGAATTCTTCCTGAGCACTACATTTTCTTTCACACTAAAATGGCCCATTAGACTCCATGAAAAGGAAACTTTTTTTTTTACTATAACTTGCAAAATGGGTTATAGTCACACAGTGGTTAAATTGGCTGGGATCTATTTTAATTATTTATGGCACATTTGAGTACCCCAAAACCCATAGTAATTCTTATTCAGGAGAATAATACTGTGACTATTCCATTGGACAAATCCTGAGTTCATATTTTGATCACTCTTTCCAAATCCTGTGCTGATGAAAAATACCAACTAAAGACCTTCCCCTTTGGACCTTTTTTTGAGGAGGAGCTTGGATCTAATAGAACTAGGCTTTTCAGTGAAGGCTAAGGGAACTCCTTCCATTGAAATTAAAGGAAGTAAGCACTCAACTCAATTAGGCACCTTTGAATATCCCAGGCTGAAGGAATCATTTATCACCCCAGTGAGTCTTGTTGCCATTCTGAGTCTGGTTGTACCTTAGGATGTGGTATTTATCCTTTTGGTCTTTCACTTCACCATCTCCCAAAAACTGCTCTTAGACAGATCCTCAAGTATAGGAACAACAATATGAATCAACTCCTACAAGTCACATTGATTATAAGAATTGTATTTCACTTTTCCTCATGAAAGCATCTAAGGGGAGCCTAAGAACATGCAAAAGGTAGGCTTGGGAGAGGAAGAAATGAATTGCATGGCTCAGGATAATGAGACAAAAGAGCCTTTGTCATTGGTTCAATCATTGTTAATGGAAGCAGTTACTCCCTGAAAGGTGTTCAGTGGCCTATTGATATCTGTTTGATCATGCACAGTGCAGGTGCAGTGTAATGACCACTTAAAAGTGAAAAGCAAGATGGAGCACCTGGGAACCCGATCCTGCATTCATAGAATATCAGGGTTGGAAGGGACCTCCGGAGGTCATCTAGTCCCAACCCCTGCTCAAAGCAGGACCAATCCCCAACTAAATCATCCCAGCCAGGGCTTTGTCAAGCCTGACCTTAAAAACCTCAAAGGAAGGAGATTCCACCACATCCCTAGGTAACCCATTCCAGTGCTTCACCACCCTCCTAGGAAAAACTTTTTCACTAATATCCAATCTAAACCTCCCGCACTGTAACTTGAGACCATTACTCCTCGTTCTGTCATCTGGTACCACTGAGAACAGTTGAGATCCATCCTCTTTGGAACCCCCTTTCAGGTAGTTGAAAGCAGCTATCAAATTCCCCCTCATTCTTCTGCAGACTAAACAATCCCAGTTCCCTCAGCCTCTCCTCTAATCATTTTTGTTGCCCTCCGCGGGATGCTTTCCAATTTTCCCACGTCCTTCTTGTGGTGTGGGGCCCAAAACTGGACGCAGTACTCCAGATGAGGCCTCACTAATCTCAGATAGAGGGGAATGATCACGTCCCTTGATCTGCTAGCAGTGCCCTTACTTATACAGCCCAAAAAGCTGTTAGCCTTCTTGGCAACAAGGGCACACTGTTGACTCATATCCAGCTTCTCATCCACTGTAACCCATAGGTCCTTTTCTGCAGGACTGCTGCCTAGCCATTCGGTGCATGGGATTCTTCCATCCTAAGTGCAGGACTCTGCACTTGTCCTTGTTGAACCTCATCAGATTTCTTTTGGCCCAATCCTCTAATTTGTCTAGGTCCCTCTGTATCCTATCCCTACCCTCCAGCGTATCTACCTCTCCTCCCACTGGCATTAGTGAGTGCTGCTACACAGCTGCCACACTAGTCTTGCCTGGCGTTCACAGAATCATAGTGAAGATAAAGGTATATGGCAGTCTAGGTGTTCTTCATCCAGGCTAGTGTGCTTGGGCCTCAGATGAGTAGGTGTTAAAAAGTCTTCAGCCCTGTCCAAGACAGTTGGCTCTGTTTTTAACACATTTCTAATATGCAATTTTATAGACATATAGAATCTCAGGCACTTTGAAAATTGAGACAAAAGCATCTGTCCCAAAATGTTAATCTGAGGTCAGGTCTACACAACAAAATCTTGATGGCATAGCTGTGCTGGTCAGGGATTTGATGAGGAGTGATTTGTTACCATCATAGCTGTGCTGGCAAAAGCCCCTAGTGTAGACACAGTTATACTGGCAAACTGAATTCTTGCTGATATAAATTATTCCAGCCCCCTTGAGGAAAATAAGCTATACTAGCAAAAGGGCAGTTCTGCTGTTATAAACTGAATCCTCACTAAGAGAGCTTTGCTGGTATAATCTACCAGTGTAGTTATACCATCATAGTGCTGCTAGTGTAGACATAACCTAGGAGTAACCCACAAAATACCTGCTCTTGTTCTTTAAAAAAGATTTTGAAGCCTATTTAACTCATTGAGGTGTTCTCTTTCAGCACGCACAGTTTCTTTGAAATCAGCAGAGTTAGTTGAGAGCTGAACTTGACCCACTATCTTTAAGAGAATTTCCTTGCCTTGAACATGTTATAGAACCGCATTGAGTTGAAAGAGGACCCTTAGAAATCCCTGTCTAGTGCATATGTCTTGTGTCATGGATTTAAGAGTTAGTTCACACAACCAAATCCTAGGGTAACATTTGATGCTACAGTTAGAGATTAATGGACTGACTATGAGAGGTGTTCATTGCCTCATTTTCCATTGAAATTATTTGAAACTATGAGTGCTCTGAATCTTTGAAAAATCAGGTACCTTAATATTTATACTTGACAAATTTTGCAGATTTAAAGCCAAATTTTTCCCTGCTATAAGCAGGCACAGATTTTCTTTGAAATCAGTGGAGTTAGATGAGGGCTGAATTTAGCCCATTATCCTTACGTGAATCTTCTTGCCTTCAGCAATGTCTTAGATCCTTAATAAACTTGTAATGTTCAGTAGTTTTTTTTATTAAATATACACCACTTGCTTTCATACTTGAAATTACATGTTAAAGAGAGGTTTCTGTAATGGAAAATTCTTTTAATGGTAGAAAATGGATTGTGCCATTGACCAAAATAATTTTCATTTAAAAATACTGCAGATTCCAGAAAATTAATAAGTGTTCAAATAGCTGGTGATAGATATTGCAAAGCTTGAAGTCACTGCAGTGTGAGGAAAGCTAAAGCTGCTGTATTAGGTCTTGCCCTTCAGAGATCACTTTAAACATTCTCGTTCTGCTACCTTCAAACTGGTGTGAAGTGTCTAGATAAACACAAAGAGTGGAGGCTAAGTGAGAACAGAAATACAATATTCCCAAATATTTAAGGATACTAACGATATTTTGGGGCATAAATGGAATTAGATGTTTAACGATAGTGATGCTTGCTTGTGTGGAAAGAGCTGCACTGATTGCTATGAGTTAAGAGAAATCCCCCACCACGCTCCCCCCTTAGAGCACATACACAGATATCTAGAGTTTTTTCCCTTTCTGGGAATATTCAGAGAATATTCAATTTCTCTATCATTAGGAGAAAGTAAGAATATATTCCCTGCAATGCGCACACACCTCTTAATCCTTCCAGTTTTGTTTTTTTTTCTATTTCTGTATGGAATGTAAAATAAGACTATCTGGAGACTCATTTAATACGTAGGCCCAACCAGATAAGGTTAAGCTAAAATTTTTGCCTTGGCTCCGACAGCTGCATGTAGTGTGTGCATGCCCCAGTCACTTAGAGGGATGTGGAGATCGGAGGAGCCTTTGATATCTGCCTTGCAGTCCTTTAAACCTGCTATTGTATGACACATTAGGCAGCGTGGCCTGGTACACAATGCACCCAACTGGGTAGCCCAGAGACCTGGGTTCTGGTTGTAGCTTGCTGCTTACCTTCTGTGTAATGTTGAGCAAATGTGTTCACCTCTGTACCTCCCACCCATTTTTGTTCTGTTTCGATAGTAAAATCTTTGGACCAAAAATTATCTTAAGTCATTTGCCCAGTGTCAAGTACAGTCTGGATTGGGCCTCGGGGACTATTATACAAATAACAGGAAAGACCATCTGACCTAGTATACCTTCCCTTTTGCATTATACGGGAGTATGATAACTTATGGGGCTAGAAGTGAGTTGCTGGTTTCCCCATTCTCTGTATCAGAAGGGTCTCTTTTCTAGTCCCGTTCCTTTTCTAGGTTTTTTTTCCAACTCAAGAATTTCAGTTGTGCTGTTAAATTTTTAATGAAAATATACCCAGCACATCAAATAATTGGTTATATTGTATGAAAAGAAGATTGAATTTAACTTTATCATATCATAGTACCTTCTTTAATTAAATTACTTTTGGTTCCATCCTGTGTGTTAACAAAGATGTACCATGCCAATGGTCAGGAGAACTTTTAGCAGTCACAATGTTTTCTTGGTGCAGAAAAACCGGTTTTTGTGGACTCCATCTTTGTTTCGCTGAAGCTTAAATTTAATCCTCTTTAGTGCACTCTCTTCCCCGGATCATTATTCCAGTTATTTTTAACCTAATTAACAAGATCCTCTGTTTTAGCACTTTTGAGTGTCTCATCTGCTTTATGTTGAAAGGTGAGTCAGTTTTTAACTCCATATATTGGGCTGACTGGGTTTAGATAACCCTTCAGGCTAAGGACACTGGCTAAGCAAGCTGGAAAAGCAGAAATGAATTACCTAATACAAAGGCTCTTACTAATCATGTTAAACATATGAGGTAACGTACACTGGGGGAAGAACAGAAGCAGTGAAGTTGTTTTAAGCGATGACTAGACTTCATGGCAAACTGAGGATATTTTAGGAACTAAAAAGTCTTAGCCAAAATGCATATCTTGCTGGGCTCATCTTGATCTTAAACACCACTTGCTCATGAAGTAACATTTATGGACAATAAGATCATTTGAGTCTTTTGTTGCGACAAATGTCAGTTTTCATTTTTCTGCCATGTTTTATTTATTAGTGAAAAGTCTGTCCTAATTATCACCTTCTGATCATATACTGAAGGCAGGCTTCTTTTCTTTCAACTGCAGCAGAGCCTCGCCACTAAGTGCTCACTTTGTTCAACTCCGCTTCTTTCCGTAGCTTCCACTTATGGGCTGAAGGCTCAAAGAAGAAGGAAATGGGTGCGATGAGATAACAGGTTCCAGCAAAGAAAAAGGAGCAGGCATATGTCTGAGTGTAGTCATACAGCCAACCTGCAATGGATGAGGGTTCAGTTATTAAAGCTGCTGGACTTTTCCACATATTATTACACCCTGGAAGGTTTACTAACATTGAAAACTGAAATGAGCTATGACTCATAACTTCATTGAGAAAATACTGAACCATAATGCGTACAAAAAGAAAAGGAGGACTTGTGGCACCTTAGAGACTAACCAATTTATTTGAACATAAGCTTTTGTGAGCTACAGCTCACTTCATTGGATGCATTCCAGACATTCCAATGCTCAGTATTAGATTACATATTAGCATTATGCCTACTGCAGGTTTGTTTTATTTGTACAACCCTAAATCAATCTCTGAATCTATTGAATCAAAGTGGAATGTGGTGTGTATTAATTAAAGAGTTTTTAAAATAGAGAATACTTTAAATGGGACTAACTAGTTTTTTCCACAGGTGGTACAAAACATTATTTAACTTGGTAAAAGCCACTGCTGGTGAATACCGTGACATCCTTGTGTTGCCACTGTTCAAGCTATGTCTGCATGTGCTGCAGTCACACCTCTGATTGCAGTGTAGACAGACACTTGGATATTCAAAGCATGTTGATAACATGAAGACTTGATGAGCCAGACCCATGGAAGCCAGTGGAGTTACTCCAGTTCAGGATATGGCCCAGTATATCAGAGGTTCTAAAACTAGTCTCCAATCTGGAAGAAATATGTAAGAGCCCCTACTTTTCCTTAGCCACATGGCTGTTTTAATTGGTGGTTCTGTCTGTGGGGGGAGAGTCTAGACAGTAATAGAAAAATAATTTCTCAAATTTAGACATGAATAAAAATAGGAAAATATGAAGAGGGGAAAAAATCATTTTTAAATGTAATTAAGGTTTTTAATGGCCATGTTAAGAGATGAAGGCTAATGGTGCTTATGAGCCTGTAGTTGCATCTCACTAACTGCTGCTCTGAACTCAAGTTAACTAATTGGGATATTTCAATTCCCTGCATCATCACTTCACTACAGTGCCATCTTGTCTCATTTTCTCAGGGATATTGTTTGGGCCCTTCCTGAACTTGTAGGTTTTAAATGATGTTATCTGTAATCTAATGGGATGAGATAAATGCTTTATTTCATAGGATGTGGTGACTTCATATTGTACAAAAGCTTGCTGTACAAAAGTTGGGTGGAAAGAAAAGGAGTACTTGGGGTACCTTAAAGACTAACAGATATATTTGAGTCTCTCAGGTGCCACAAGTACTCCTTTTCTTTCTGCGGATACAGACTAACACGGCTGCTACTCTGAAACCTGTTAGATGGGTGGGTTACTTAAACTCTGGAATCATGGGATTAAGATGTCCAGAATGAAATGACATGAGCTCCAGTTTTTAAACCCATTATGGGTAGAGCTTACTGAAAAATACCTACTTACGTAAAGGAAAGAACACACATTCATGTTTTCTCTGCAACTCAGCTGTTTTCAAATTCATCAGTAGGTGGTGCCTGCCTACCACCTCTTACCAGCTGGCATTACAGTACATTCTGCAGCACATACATCTGAGAGACTTTGATCACAGAGAGCTATCTTAATGGTTTCTCTTTTTGCTTACTGACTGGAGAAAGCAGATTGCAGGTGATTAGTCTGTGAATTGGAGAGAAACTAAAGGGGATGCAAAGTTTCCTGTGGAAATCTAGAAAAGCATCTTTGCTCTAAACGTAAGTAGCACTGATAAATCCTTCCTCTGTAACTTAACACTCTAACCCCTCACAGCATATGCCTTTGCTATACGTTTAAGTATAGCTATCATTCCTTTTATCACCAGTCATGGAGCTGGAGGTGCCTGTTGTGCTCTCTTTCTGCAAAGTGGCTTTTTGCTTTGAATTGTAACTTTTTTGTTAAAAGCATGGTAGTTGGTTTGTATTGTTCCTGTGAAGCTTAACATGGTTCTCTTCCTATGCTTGTTTGTGCCTCTAAGAATCAGCCTGTTTTGTTCTCCTGTGTTATCTTTAGTTTTGTTTCTAGAATGTCAGAAGTTTTCACCGCTTAAACAGGTGTCCCTTGTATGATGAGCAGGTAAGTGGTCCCTACTTGCTGGTGAGGCATCAGACTTTTTAGCTCTGGGTGTTCAACCACTGCTTTTGACTTTGGATCTAGAAGTAAGAATTGGGAAATGAGTCTTTCAGGTAAGTAGCTCTTTTTCTAGTATTTGTTTTGATAGGTTTTTTGTTTTGTTGTGTAAAATATGCATCCTTCACCTCTTCTTGGCGTTGTGTATAGTGTATATTGTACTAGGAGTAGTAGATGCTTTGAGTTTATGGAAATTTTTAAATTAACCTTCAGTACTGTAGATAAGTAAGGAATAATTCATTTAATCACAGGAAGAGAAACCCTAGACCCATCTTTAATAGCAGTAAAAAGCCTCATTCATTTTCACCAGAATTCACTTCCAGTGTGAAGTGCAAGGAGCAAGTTTTTTAGCATATGGTGGCTTGATTTCAAGGGAAAATCTTAGATCATAGGATTGTACCCTGAACATACAATCATGTGCTTGATCCTATAGAATCATAGAATATCAGGGCTGGAAGGAACCTCAGGTGGTCATCTAGTCCAACCTCCTGCTCAAAGCAGGACCAGTCCCTAAATGGCCCCCTCAAGGATTGAACTCACAACCCTGGGTTTAGCAGGCCAATGCTCAAACCACTGAGCTGTCTCTTTCTCCCTCCCCCCAAAAATCTTCCCTTCCCTTTTATGGGACACACAATTGAGGGGGCGGGAAAAATTAGATTGCTTCATTCCTCTGCCTGGTTTCCTCTCCCTCCTATTGCTGGCCCTTTCCCATCTCAGCTGTATTGGCAGGCTGTGGACTGCCAGGAGCTGCCATATGAATAGCCTGCACTCCCCTGCCCCCCCCCAAAATAAACTATTAATGGTTAGTGTGTTTATAAAAAATTCTATTGTTAGAAATAAAGGAGACATCACCAATTAGTGGATATGTTACAAGCAGCTGAAAGTGCAATCGCCATGTATGATGCGTAGACCAAAGAAAATACACAAAGTGAAGTAATTCCCCACATAAGGTACTTGAGGCAGACTTGGAATGAAGCAGATTATTGGGTGGGGATACATACAAGGAACAAGATAGATGACCTAATGCCATTCACTCACTGGTATTTGACCTGGCAGTTTTATCCATACACTGTAAAACACTAGCCTGGGGATAACTGAAGATACTGATCCCACATCCAGATATGAAGGTAAGGTGAAAGGTTCAGTGAAGGACAGGCTTTGCCTTGGGCAGAGGTGCATGAAACATGCCAATTCCCCCTCAATTTAAGTGGATAAAGAAATATCTGACTTTAATAAAAATATTCAATATAGCACCCAAAATGTGCCCCACACTATATATAGAATAAGATGGTATTTTGGGGAGGGGAAGGCTTATATTTGAGCCTATGTAAGCTGTTTAGCAGAGAAGATTTTGAATCCTTAGTCAAGTCAGGAGATGACAGCTAGAACCATTTCGGTCCCCTCTGTTCTATGCAAAGCACTGCAAATATAGCACCAACCCCTCATGCTGCTGGGACCACATCACCCCTTCAGCATCAAGTTAAACTGAAATAACAGTTTGAGTCTGGTAAAGTCAGTTTTTTACTCTTCTTTAGATGCATACAATTCTTCTTCTGAAGGGAGGGTCAGAGCTAAAGAAAATGCTCTGTGTTTTACCACCATTAACTCATTCACTTGCAAGTTACAGCTTTTGTTAGGAATTAGTTTTACCTTTTGAAGAAAAGTGTCATCTTAACTACCTTTCACCTTGGCTCTCAAATGTTTCCTAGTAAGTACTTTGATGCTAGAGAAGAACTAAGTATCTTCTATCAAGAGAATAGAGGGAAAATATTGCTTATATGTTACCTGCTATAGGAGGTCCAGCGATGGCTGCTATCCCAGCAAAGAATGAGGCAAATCCTAAAGAACTGTGGAGTCTGGGGACACCTACAAGATCTACCTGTTCATGGAACCAGAAATAATTATTACACCTCTACCCCGATATAACACGGTCTTCGGGAGACACAAAAATCTCACCATGTTATAGGTGAGACCGCATTGTATTGAACTTGCTTTGCCCCCCCTTGTTCTCTGACCACCTCTCTCTAATCACCCCAACCCCCCTGCTCTGACCCCTATCCACACCCCCTGCCTGCTCCACTCCACCGCTTCCTGTTGCTGGTGACTGCGGGAAGGTTGGGGGAAAGGACGCCCTCCGCGCTCACCTGGCTGGGGCTGGGCTGCTCAGCTTCCACTGCTGCTGGTGAATGAGGTGGGATCCCTCCCCTGAGCAACACAGCTGGGGCAAGGGAAGTGGAGCAGGCTGCTCCTGTTACCCCGCTAAGCCCCCAGGCCACTGTGGGACCCCCAAAAGTCCCCACAGCTCCTGCCTCCCAGATCCTGGGGGGGAAGCCCCTGACCACCCCTTTAATATTCTGCTCAGAGCAGTGTGTCAGAGTTTTACTGTGCTGTATGTGAACCCACGTTGTATCAGGTTGCCTTAGACGTGTACTTTATACAATGTACAGACACATTAGAATGAAAAGTGTTTCTCTGGGGAGTCTCCTCTTCACTCTGTTAAAGTTTGAAAAGAGTTTGTCCATACAGAATTAAACCCAAAATTGACATTAGGATGCTTGATGCATTTCTAGCCCTTGGCTGTACAAACATTTGAAATTAGTAATCTTTGTCTTTGAAGATATTTTAACATCACTCTTGGGATGTGATGCACAAGCAAGATTTGTACAGGTACATAGCTACATGAAAATGCAGCAATATTCTACTGCAGTTTGCCTTAACTGGTCATAGGCATTCATAGAATCAGACTAAGGTCAGAAGGGACCATTATGATAGTGTAGTCTGACCTTCTGCACAATGCAGGCCCTTCATTTTACTAATCTTGATTTAGGTTACAAATGAATGAAGTTTAGTGTTCTTATTGTCTTTACTGGACAGAGTGCAATACCTAAGATGGAACTATGGCATTGAGAGACAGGACTTGGGAAGCCAAGTGATTGAGTTAGGTCACTGGAAATACGTTGAGGTGCCCAATACTGTGCCTCTGCTGTGTCTGGCCTGCAAATGACTGTGTCATCCTAAAACCAGTAAACTAACAAGGTCCCCAGTGGTTTGATTTTTGAGAGTTCTGAGCACACAACCCTCAGGCTGAAATCTGTGGCAGCTGTGGGTGTTCATCACTCTTGAAAATCAGGCCACAGGATTTCAGGTGTTTGAGATATTCAGTTGGAAGTGCAAAGCATTACTGTATTACCTCTTGATGAGATCCTTTACTCACCAGTACAGGGAGCAGCAGAGCCAGGTATCCACCACAGAATATGGCAAAGCTTATGGTGTAGACCATAAGTAATGGAAAGGATGTGGCAAGAGGACCCAGCAGGTTAGTGATGCCACACAGAATAAGGTAAGTCTTATGGTAATGATACTTCTTGATCCAGTTCTGATCAGCAATCCAACCAGAAAGCAATTGGCTGACTGTCTCTGTAATCCCTAGAGAGAAACAGAAAATTCTTGTGAAGGCTCTAGCCAAATCTTTTAGAAATTGGTTTTGGGCTCTTGATTCTTCATAATCTACAAAAACATTTGCGTGAAGTGTTTGTCAAGAAAATTCTGCTGATGTTTTACATTTAGGATATGACATCACAAGAGAGGAGAATAGGATTCTTAGATTGTTCAGTGCTTGGTAAGCATCCAGTAGGCATCTGGAGTTCAGAGAGGATGCTCTAAAGGGTGAGAGAGTTACAGTAAACCTGACGTGTACAAAGACATCAGGCAAAATCAGAGATGACCAAACTTGGCATTCCTGATCAAACAAAACCAAACCCCACCTTAATCCATAATGAAGACGCATAAATTGAACACTTTTAAAAGTGCAGGGCCGCTTTTAATAAAATATACATTACCTTCTGGATATGTTAATGTACTAGTCTCAAATTCAGGAAAGTGATGATTAATATTCATTACCTGTATTCCTGCTAGTGTCCTTAATCTATATCAGTTGCCTCTTTAGCCCAAATAGCCCCTAAATAACATTCCAAGGATGTTGATTTCACTTTAGAGCCCTTTCTTTGTACAAATGAGTGAGAGTGAAGCTACTTTCCTTAATGTTATCTTACTTGCATGTTTTGAAGTTTAATATCTTCACTCACACCACAAACTAGAAAAGTTTGATTTTTGAGGTAGACAGCCTTCATGTACAACAGCTGTACTTAAAATAGGCAGGCCTGTAAAATTCTTTGTTTGCATTTATGTAACAGTTGGAGAGGTCACAATAGCAGCCAGGATTGGCTGACTGCTACACTGTTTTTTGCTCTCAGGGGGTTATTACATTTCTTTAATACAAATATATTCTTAAAATAAGGTTAGGAGACTCTTACCTACCAGCCACTGAAATGAGGTAAGAGGCATCCATGCCATTTATGCCCAAGGTTTTGGCTCTTGCTGCCAGGTGAAAGGTGGGAATGAAGTAGGCCAGTTGGCTGAATAAAAATGACCAGGCAAAAATACAGAAGAAGGGATCTTTCAGCAGTGAGAAATCAAGAAGAGGCTGCCTGCTGGGAACTGGCCATAAGTGGGAATTCCATTCCTTTTGCAGTGGAAGGTTGTTATAGCCACAGTCCCTGTCACTGCCTCCATCAGGAGAGTAGCAGTTGGAGGTTTCTCTCTCAGGCCCTTCCAGACCAGCAGAGTTCACAGGAACTAGTGATCCTAATGTTCCAGCTGCCTGGAGCTTGTTTGTGACAGTGGAATCTTGCATAGGAGAATCCAGTCTAGTATTAAACTGTGTTTCTGTGGTACTGATTTCATCTAGGTGGCTTGTAAGAGTTGCTGGATGTTTACTTTGTGTTAATGATCCACTGTCTACATTTCTACCAGAAAAGTCCTGGAGATTCTTGATGATAATAGGTCGCAGTAACATACTAGAAGGCACAAGGTTTAACATGATCCCTCCAAAGATCAGTAGGGTACCTGAGAAAAGAGAGGGGGAAGGAAGATAAGTGGTTTTTCCCCCCACTATAATGCTGTGATCAATACACTCAAACATTTGTGTTTAGAATTGGCTCTGTTTTTATACTGAACACACGGAATTATCTGTTGCAAGAAAAACAGTATTTGTCTTGCATCAGTCCTTCTGTGAGACTTCTTCCCGAGGTGAAGTCACCTTCCTGCTTGTGAATAACCTATGTCATGTCAAACAGAAAGCAGACTCTAGCTGGGAAGCAGATAAGAAACATAGCTACTCTCCATCCCATTGCCTGCCTAATAAATTAAAACAAGGGGAAGGAAAGAACTAAATATGTTTCAAGGTCTGTTTTTCTCCTCTACTATTCTTAAAAAATTTAGTCTGCCTCATTTGGCAGACTCCACGATGAGCAGCGAAAGTACAACATTGCAAGAAAGTTTAGCAAATGAGAGAGGAATTTATAGTCACTGTTTAACACCAATATAACTTCAGTGACTGATTACATTTTGGAAGAAGGATCTCTTAAAGATTTAAGACAACCAGAGTTGCCATTCCTGATATGTCAAAGTAGCTTAGCCTCTCTATCAGAAGGTGCTAAAAACCAACCCCACAATCTTTAAAACAACAATCCCTTCTAGGTCACCTTGAGTGATAGGTACCTGGTGCCGATGGTGAAATGTGGAAAAAGTAAAAACCAATTTACCTTGCCAACCATAAAAATCTATCAGAAGTTGAGTGAAAGGTGCTAGTACAAATGTCAGTCCCATTCCTGAGCGTGCAATTGCATTGGATAGAGCCAGTCGCTTTTTAAAGTACCTGGCAGTCATCACAGCAGCTGCTTGATACAAGCAAGCAAAGCCCAGCCCTGAAATAGAAGAAAGAAGGTCAGTGCCCAAGCAGTGACTCTTGTGGAGTGGAATTTTCATCTCATGCAAGTGAGGAGCAGAACTTCTAATTCAAGACCTACCCTCAATGAGTCACCTCAACTAACAGCTGTATTGTAAAGACAAGAGAGTCCTTGCTATATGTGGCAGGAGAGTGGATGTGACGCACACAAGGAAATGCCCAAGCTGTGCCTGTTTAGCAACAATGAAGAGTAGCAGGGATTGGTGACTGGCAATAGTGCTTTCTGGGAACCCAGGTAAAACGCAGTGGCGTGGCTCTCCAAGGTGCATGGGGCAAAATCCTGGCCTTAGTGATCAGGATTTCACCCGTGGTGTTTAAAAAGCCAAGCTTTGCTACACGTAGTCGGTTTAAAAAAAAACAACCTGAAATTCACACAGTGGCTGTAGTAAGTCAAAAGTGTCATTAGGCATTCCTGAATGTAAAGCCTGCAGGGAAGAAATTGTCTTCTTTTTGCAGTCTTTGGGTGATACACTAATAGCCATAGGATAATCAAGCAGCCACATGGATTAACAGTTGTCTGGATCTGCTGATGCGCTTTTGTAAATGCTTTCATTACTCAGGAAAGTGGCAAAAAGGCAGCCAGAGCGAAACTTGTGAGCTGTAGGAAGTTACTCACCCAATAGCAGTCCCATAGACACACACAGGAAGGAGATACTAGTGGCCTGTGTGCTGATCAGACAACCGCTGCTAACTAGACCTGCCCCAATGATGGAGGTCAGCTGGTCCCCCAGCTTCCCACAGGCTATAGTGACCAGTGGACCTGGAAGATAAGTCAGTAGTGAGGTAAGCAGTTGGAGGATCTAGAGGAAAAACACAATAGCTCAAGGTACAACAACATCTAGGATAGTAGTCTTGATATTCTCTGATCCTGCTCTGAGAATTCCATCAGAGCTGCAAGGAGCACTCATGCTATGATCTATGAAGTAGGATAGTGGAGAGAAAGGTAATCAAGTCTCCTGTTTGGAGATGGTCAGGAAGGATTTCCTCAACCTGCCCCCTTTAGACAGCAGTGCTCAGTTAAATTGGTGGATTATTTCGTGGTGGGAGAGAGACTACTTTATTTTGAAAGACTGGGTATTAGAGGTAGGATACTGCACTAAATGGATCAGATTAGCATAGCCAATCCTGTACAGAGAAGCACAGTGACTTGTCAAACGCTGTGTTTATGCAAACCCTCTTCTTCAAAGATTTCCCTGGGCTACCACCACCAGATCAGCTCCCTAGAGTGGTGGTGTAGACAAGAGCACTTCCCCCTAGTCAGCCAAGGGTCACCGTCCTTCAGACGGAAGTCTTCAAAGAACCGGTATGATAGTACTACTGATAGCTTCTTTTAGTGCTACTGAACCCTGCTTTGGAGTGATTGCCCTCTAGCCCTGGAAGGTGGTTCAGCGTCCAGGCCCAGTTAATTTTTGGACTCTCTAGGAGTGCCAACAAATGTGCCAATTGCACTAGTTTGTCACGTAGACACTAGGAGTTTGGCAGGTCATTTAATGTCAGCTATTTAATGCGACCAAATGGACGTAAAATTCAAAGAGTGTAGACCGGCCTCTGCTACTTTCTGAACTTGCGTATCCCTGCTGACCTGCTGAGAAGCGAAGAGAGGACATGATGGAGCCGATCCAACTAATTTGTTCTGAAGAGCCTCCCACCTCTTCTTGAAAGACCACAAAGAAAATTCCAAAGGTTTTCAGCATTCCCATCACGAGCACGTTTACCTAAACCCAAAGCAGATACAAGTGAAAGGCTGCACATAGTTGAAAATAGATTCCTGGCCACAATATCCTCTCCCTGTTCCTCAGGACTGTGACAAATCTTCATGTATTGGGAGAAAAGCTGATGACAAGTTAGAGTCAGGAAAAAAATTTCCTTTCCTCCTCTATAAATTACATTACACACACACTCCCTTTCCCTCCTCCCATTATTGGAAGTAGGTGCAATATTGGGATGGGACAGCGTTGCTGCTTTCTAAGCCATCTAGTAGCATTGCTTAGTGGCAGAAATTGGGACATTTGTCTGGTAGGATTGTGAGAGAGACTTTCAGTGACTAGGTCTCAGTGGTGCCCACATTCTAACTGGAGCAAAGTCTACACGATATGGACATTTTTCCAACAAGAGACCAGAATGGCATTGCACTTGAGATGTGTTTAAAAATTCAGATTCCTTTGAACACTATTTGGCATATTTCTATAACTAGTTCTTATAAAAACTAGAGACTGAAAAAATCTTGAAATACTTAAACACTTATTGTCAGTAATTTAATAAGTACTTGGGTGGCTTTTTAATTCTTGGAAATCTCAATAGTCATTGACAGATCAGAGCTGATTGGCTTTTTGGCATGAGCATTGGAAAGATTTCCCAGTCAGAAACTGCCATGCTGCCTAATTTTCTTTTTCCAGTAGCTGACTGGAAAATAAGCAGGTAGTAGAATATACTGAACACACTTGAGTCAGGATGCCTGGCTTCTATTCATAGCATTGCTGTTTTGAGCTGTGATGTTCTGAAATATGGGTAATATAAGGCTCCCTACCTTGGAGGCTTAGCTAAACAAGCTTGTCAAGTGCTTTGACATCCATGGTCAAAATGTGCTTATAGAAATAACTATGTACTACTTGATGTTAACGTCCAAATTGCAGGTAAATGCGTTGTTGTTTTGCAGCCGCTTAGCAATTGATTCTTGTATACAGACTGTGAGCCAGATTCCAGGGTTGGCAATTTCCTGGGAAAAACTAGTTTGGGACAGAGCACTGGTAAATACCAGTTTAAACTGGGAAAAATAAAGTTGTTGTTAGAATACTAATGAAAATTACTAAAAAATATAGATTGCAAAAAAACTTATCAAATTGCTAGATATATGATGAGATTTTTATGATGAGATTACTGGTTCTGTGGATGAAGGGAAAGCAGTGGATGTATTGTTTCTTGACTTTAGCAAAGCTTTTGACACGGTCTCCCATAGTATTCTTGTCAGCAAGTTAAGGAAGTATGGGCTGGATGAATGCACTATAAGGTGGGTAGAAAGCTGGCTAGATTGTCGGGCTCGACGGGTAGTGATCAATGGCTCCATGTCTAGTTGGCAGCCGGTATCAAGTGGAGTGCCCCAAAGGTCGGTCCTGGGGCCAGTTTTGTTCAATAACTTCATAAATGATCTGGAGGATGGTGTGGATTGCACTCTCAGCAAATTTGCGGATGATACTAAACTGGGAGGAGTGGTAGATATGCTGGAGGGGAGGGATAGGATACAGAAGGACCTAGACAAATTGGAGGATTGGGCCAAAAGAAATCTGATGAGGTTCAATAAGGATAAGTGCAGGGTCCTGCACTTAGGACGGAAGAACCCAATGCACAGCTACAGACTAGGGACCGAATGGCTAGGCAGCAGTTCTGCGGAAAAGGACCTAGGGGTGACAGTGGACAAGAAGCTGGATATGAGTCAGCAGTGTGCCCTTGTTGCCAAGAAGGCCAATGGCATTTTGGGATGTATAAGTAGGGGCATAGCGAGCAGATCGAGGGACGTGATCGTTCCCCTCTATTCGACATTGGTGAGGCCTCATCTGGAGTACTGTGTCCAGTTTTGGGCCCCACACTACAAGAAGGATGTGGATAAATTGGAGAGAGTCCAGCGAAGGGCAACAAAAATGATTAGGGGTCTAGAACACATGACTTATGAGGAGAGGCTGAGGGAGCTGGGATTGTTTAGCCTGCAGAAGAGAAGAATGAGGGGGGATTTGATAGCTGCTTTCAACTACCTGAAAGGGGGTTCCAAAGAGGATGGCTCTAGACTGTTCTCAATGGTAGCAGATGACAGAACGAGGAGTAATGGTCTCAAGTTGCAGTGGGGGAGGTTTAGATTGGATATTAGGAAAAACTTTTTCACTAAGAGGGTGGTGAAACACTGGAATGCGTTACCTAGGGAGGTGGTAGAATCTCCTTCCTTAGAGGTTTTTAAGGTCAGGCTTGACAAAGCCCTGGCTGGGATGATTTAACTGGGAATTGGTCCTGTTTCGAGCAGGGGGTTGGACTAGATGACCTTCTGGGGTCCCTTCCAACCCTGATATTCTATGATTCTATGATATAAATGTGAAAATAAATGAGTCAAGACATCTATAACTACCTTGAGAAAATACCTAACCAAAATGTATACAGACATTCTGAAGTTTAGTATTATGTATACTGCAGTTTTAATTTGTATTTGTAGAACAACCTAAATTAATGTCAGAATCTTCTGCCTTATGGAACCACACTTTGAATATGTAACTAAGGATAAGGAATGTGGTGTACATTAATGAAACAGTTTTTTAAAATAGAAAATACTTTGAACTGGGGCTAACTAGTTGGTAAAAACCGTGATTTTACCGGGTTAAAAAACAGCTCTGGTAAATGCCATCCCTGCCAGATTCTCAGCTGCTGTAAATTGATGTAACTGCATTTACACTAGCTGAGGATCCGCGGCCTTTTTCCCCACAGAGCCTCATGAAGGAGGCCGGAGTTGGGTTCCTCTATGGTTATCAAGCTACCAGAAGTAATAGGAAAGCTGTATGATCTTTACAGTGACAATGTGTACCTCTGGAGACTTGTGGGGTGGAGGGAGGGGAAGAGGAAACTGTCACAAGCAAAGAGTACCAAGTCCAACTGCTTTTTAATGAAGGACAGAGATCAATCCTTTCCCAGAACTAGTTACCCATTTCACTGTGAGCATAATCTCTACGTGTAAAGTTAGAGACCAGTGTGCTAGACTCATTAAAGTAGGACTCCAGCCCTCCTTCGCAATGTTAGTCTCTGCCATGAGCATGTTAGAATCAACACTGTGTGCATCATATGCTGGTTTGGTTGTCTGTGTGAGAACACAACCTGTGAAAGCATCTCTTTCCTCCCAGGACTTAACTCCCGAGGGTCCCACAAGGTTCTCTCTACTTACCAGAAAGAAGTGAAGCACTATCATCCATCCCCATCCTCCATCAGGAGTTATGGGTTGCTGTTCCTCCTCCTCCTTCATTGCTGTTGGCCGATTCTCTGCCCCCTTCCTTTCTCCTGAAAATGAGAATTTCAGGAAATAGTCACACTTCACCTTACTGATCAGGCTCTTTTAGGTAAACGAGACTCAGGATTCACTTTGCAGGATTGACCTACTTTAAAAACAAAAGCTGATACTTGCTTCCATCTATCCTTCCTCCTGTTCACCAGCCGCCGCTGCTGCTGCCATGGGAGACAATATTTTGCATTTAGTCAGAGATCACAAGTTGCTTTTTAAAGCCGGTTAGGCCTTTGGGAAAGAGGCACTTAAGTTTGCACAGTCACACTGTGGCAGAACTGGAGATGGAACTCAGGACTTCTAACTCCCACCCTTTTACTCCTTTCTAGACTACAGCTGTCCCCAAGTAAAGACGACTCCTGCATGTTCAGGTAAGTTTCCTTGGCGTACGTATACATAATTGAATCTGTGCCAGAACTAGGGAGCCTGCTTCACCATCTGCCTGTGACTATACCCCGCTCAGTGCCCCTCTGAACCTCTTCCCAACCCCATTGCCTCTATGCTGGTTTATTCCTCCACCATTTATCTGTGAGGTTTCTGTCCATTACTGAGTTTGCTCTAGGAGTTTTGCCTCCTAGTACAGCTGAGACATGCACGGGGGGTTAGCGGGATTGTAACCCAAAGCTTTTCTCTTACCGTCTGGATGAGGCATAGCATAAGATGCTGCAAAAATAAGATTTAAGAAAAATAATCTGTCTTCATTTGTTGGGGCTAGCTACAGCCTCCTGAGTTAGTTCAAGTCTGTTCCTTAATTCCTCTCTGTACTAGGGAACACAGGGCTCATTCTTCTAAAAGAAGCCACGAAGCAAAGGAGGCAGAGCTAGGGAAAAAAAAAGCCCCCTTAAGTGCAGGGCCTTTTGGACTTTATCCCTCCCCTCAGGAAGTAATTAGCATATCCAAGGCATGTCAGCCCCACCCCTTACCCAAGACTGAGGGTGGGGAAATGAAGCTCTTTGCTAAAAGTATCCTGCTTGGAGGAAATTTGAGTCCTTAGAGTGCTGCCCAAAAACTGCAAGGGAAAGTTTGAGGGTGGGCATGAGGTTTTGCTTGTTAGTCACCAGGCTGCCCAGTAGGTGGCATCAGTGTACAAAACCAGCTTCCAGTACAGGAGCCGCATCTGAATTTGTGTGTGTCTATCACAGCAGGTAGAGATGGGGAACCAGAGACAGAAGGATTCCCTCCCTGCTGTATATCAGGTAGCATAAGGAAGATCATATTCCTTATTTCTTAATTCACTGTTATTGAATGTTTGTATAGTCCTGACACAAGGACTGCCTAGAGACCCTTGTGAGGCATGGTGCTTGGCACCCGCCCCAGTGCTTCCAGGCTAAAGGAATGTCTTCACTGCCAAAAATGGTGTATTTTTACTGCAGGGAAACTAACATGCATTAGCTAGCCTGCTGTAAAACCCTAGTGGAGTCAACGCACTGTAGTATTCAGATAAGGTCAACCACTGATAGACCTTATCGGAATACTAACTCTATATATAAATAAATATAAAATGTTGATGTCACTTGGTTATCTTGTAATATTTTGTCTCCTCTAGGATTTTACAGTAGACTAGCTAACATGTAATATCATACTGTTAAACAAAGGAAAACATCTTTTTTGCAGTGGAGATCTATACACAGACAGATTTGTGCTGCAAACAGGGGAGGAGAGCTCAGTGAGTGAGATTATTAATTAGCAGTGGCCACAGGTGAGACCTGCTGCCCTCATCTGCAATCCTAGGCTCTCCTGCAGCAGCTCAGGTCACTTCAGAAAGAGTGGCATAAGCTTCAGTGCAGCAGCATGGAGGTTCTTCTGGCTGTAGAGGCTCCCATTGGAAGTGGCTTAGGAAATCTGCTACATGAGAACAGAAACACAATGGGAGCAAGCTTACCAGCCCCCACAATCCTAGACTGTAGTATTCCTGTGTTACCCAATCTCCTCTATGCTCAGTCTGCCTTATTCCTCTACCTTACGCAGTTATCCACTCTGCTGTGTAAAGATTCGGTGCCCCACCCTATTTTAATTGGAACACCAAAAGCTTGTGATCCCCAGCACAGATCCTGTCAGATCTCAGATTTGGCAAAGCAGCCGCAACTGTTTCACTATCATTGTGTTTTAAACCCCCTCCAAAATACCACAGCCCTCACTCAGCAAAGAGCAAGCTGTACAAAGGGCAAAGAGCCTATAAACATGAAAATGAATTTAAAGAAAAATTTGACAACTTACCTTACTAGCAGATAGTTGACAGCTTTTCTCAGTATGTGTTGTTTGATGGAAGGGCTGGGGGAGAGAATACATCTGCTGTCTGTGTCCACTCCTCAGCGAATGTAACTTTTCCCCTTAAGTAACTATGTAGCTACATTGTGGCACTGAACTATGTATTCATTCCAAATAAGAATGAAACTAAGAGGATCTTAATGCATCCTGGACAGTTTAAGAATATACTGTACTTTCTTTAATGCATTGTTTGGTAGCTATGATTGATCACTTAAAAAATTAAACTACTGGACATTTCACTTCCTTACAAAAGACTTGATGAGGTACTGGTCAAAGCTATAATGGAGAGAGACCATAATCAACAGAGCTGTAAGAGTACTACTTAGTCCCCATTGGCACTACAGGAGGCCTGAGGGTACCGAATGTAAAAGGAACAGTCAAACAGGAAGTCTGAAAAGTAGGGAGCCTTTTGGCCATGTCCCTGTCAGGGATTGTATTGCTCGGAGACTTAGGACTAACAGTTGCACCATTTTCCAGCTAATAGCATGCTAAGAATCACTAGGTCTAGTATTATTGATTGATGTCAACATTATCCACTCTGAGGCCACCACTACCTATCTATCAGTACTAAAGAGAAACTAAAGCCACCTTTCTTATACTGATTTAAAATCATGCAGCAAAGATATGTGTACCTCCATGGGTTCAGTAATTGGGACACAGTCAGGTCAAATTTGGCCTCAAATCTGGGTTTTGTAAGTAAACTTTTACCATACCTAAAACATTTCCACTTGAACACCAAGGGAGGGGCTTTTTAAACAATGTTTCCCCTGCAGCCTTTGCTGTTTTAACAGTATCATTAGGGGCTAAAGTGTGAGACTCCTGATGTGAAATTGACAGCTTGACAAATCCATTTCCAGTGTCAAAACAGTAACCCAAGAAGCAAAACCCCGTCAAGTAGTGAAGTTTAAACTTAAAACTTCAGTTTTAAACGAAGACATTTGTAACAGACAAGGAAACTGTTTATAAATGTATGTATTTTTAGTCAATGGGATTAAAGGTGTCTACAAAGAATCTTAATGGGGCTTGGCTCTTTCTTTGAGGTATACATGTAACCTGCATGAGTAAACTTTTCTGCTTGTTTATCTTAGGAAAAAAATCAGAGCTTGCCTGATGTTTGAGAGACATTGGGAAGTCCAAGGGATCTTTATTGTAAGATGACCGCCTTAGTTGGAGGGGGAGGATGATGAATCTAAAAAAGTCTCTCTCTCTCTATAGTTAGTCACTGAGCTTCAGACAAACCAGCATTCAACTGAAGCTTACAGAGTCAGCTGTGTGTTTTATAATGTATAATTTATTGAATTCAACAAGTAAGGCCACAGATTAGGGTATCTGATCATTACACAAGCAAGGTGAGTTAAACCACATTCCATGCTTGACAGTAAATTCTGGGCTGTGCTGGAAGTTAAAGACCCTGACTGAAGTACAGTACCAGTTTAAATAAGGAGGGAAGCTACCACATATTTAAGATTGGCCCAAATTTAGTTCTGCAAGCACTTTCTGTATTAGATCAGCAGAGGAAATAGATCAGTCCAACAACGAGTTGATCCAAGGGTGGAAAAGAATCAAGCTGATGGATGAAAGGTCAAGATGCCATTTTGTGCACTGCCACAGTGATGCTGTCATGCTTCTGGATCATGATGTTCCTGAAACAAACAGAAACCATTGTTCAAGACAGTTATAGCTACTACAGTCCTGAAGAGTTCTCACACTGCAGCTTATCTGCAGGTCACGAGCAGAAGTTTAGTATCTGCTGCATGCTGTCAGAGAGGAAGCACTGACTAGATCAGCATTTCTCAAATGCTGCCACCAGGGGCTTTTCTTCAGCCACAGCCTTTCCCACAGGGCTGCTGGCAGGGGTTGGGTCCTGCCCCCCTCTGGAGCCAGCCAGTATGAGTTCCCACCTTCCCAGGGGCAGCAGACTCCATCCCCCTCGATGCCCTGGCCTCTGCTGCCTTCCTGGACCCCCACTGCCTCCCTATCCACAGCTTCATTTACCTTCCCCTCCCCCCCCCCGCTTTGCCAGGGCTGAGTAAATCCATTGTGAAAAGCAATATTTGCATGTTTAATATCACTTTTCACTGCCTCCTAGTTAACAAGGCTGCTGTTGTGAAAAGTGATTATAAACATACAAATATTACTTTTCACAGATGCAGACTTACTAGCTAGCAAGTCTGAAAAGAAAATGCAGCCAAAAAAGCAAAAACAACAAAAACAAAAAAAACCCCAAGAACATGCAAAGCACATTTGTTTGTTTCTTTTCTGTTTAGGTCCAGTAAAGAACACAGACAACTGTACATGGTTTTTCACAGACTGAATAATAAAAATACCTACATACATAAATTACTATGATTTGGACATGTATACGTGCATATTTATTTGTTTTTCTTAAAGTTAATTAGGAATTTTAGGAAAAGGTGTCATAGCGGCCACCAGCAAGAGTTCATGGCCACACTGAGGCCACCAAAAAAATTGTTGCCAAGACCCCTGGACTAGATCCTGTGCACAGAGGACTAGGACTCCATTTTCCATCTCTGCCTACTCTGAAAAAGTTTGGGCTCAAATCTTCTCACCTAACTCCAACACCTCCACATACTCCAAAAGCTTGAAGTATGGGAGATTCCTAGGAATCAGGTCTCCCTTTTGTGAAAAGTTTTCAGGAGGATTAAAACAGGATCGTAAGGTCTATTTAGGTAGCCATTACAAACATGATGCAGGAATGACTAATAGGTAGCATTGTATCCTTATATCTGGCAGCAGCCTCTCTGCTTTTTAAAGCATGCAGTAGGTATAGAAATAAGGTTACATTCACCATTGCCTTAGGGCCCCAATTTTAATAAGTAATCCACATTCAAGCTCCAGAGAAAGGCAAGAATGGCCTTCCTAGAGTTGCTGCCATATGTGCCAGTGGGGGTGAAGCTTTCTAGCCTTATATCTGTCATTGTAACCAGGGACACATGAGCAGAACCACCTTGAAGTGAAAGAGGCTGTTCTAAAGATCTAATATTCCCAGAAGATCCTAATGATAGGATACAGGGCAAACCAAAAAGAAAAGGGAATGATAGACATACAACTCCAGATGCTCACCCATTATCTGACTCCAGACACACAACAGGAACATCAGTAGGATCTGAAGTGAGTTTGGCTGCCTGCTGGGCTAGAACTGAGATCACACCTGCATGTTCATCTGAAAGGGTTCCACGACCTATACAATACACAAGTCTTTATGTAAGCTGAAAAGCCCTCATTACTTTGCAGTAATTACATAACCAGCCAGCCCAAGAATTTAGTTGAACTGTGTGCCCTAATTTAACCCATTTGTCAGGTTATCCCAATAACTTGTAAAGCATTCAAAGGAGTTTTCCCTGCCAGCGTACACCACCATGTTATCTGTACCCTTCCCAGATAAATATGGTCATCACAACTGTGATTTTGGTGGATTTACATAGTCATATTTGCAGCATACCCTAACATTCAGTTTCCAATGCTGCCTTATTTCAGGCAAGCCCATTCTTTTAATTTTAACTCAAATAAGAGGCTAATCATTTTACCTATAAGCCCATCAACATACCTATGTCAACAGCAATCTTTACAATTACAATTCATTCTTGGGGTCCTCATTCCAAATGTTGAGCCACCTTTTAATTAAATGGCCAGTGATCAGATGATATTTGTTACCAAATCAGCAACAGCTGTGTCTTATACTTAGATTGTTGTGTGTGCTAGGACAAACTGGAACTTGGTCCATAGCACCAAGGAGCCCTAGCTACAGCAATACAAATAATTTCATTATTGAAACAAAGGCTAGTTGTTCCCCCTATACAGATTAGTTTTTTTTTTTTTTTTTTTAAATGAGTTAGTTGGCAACCACTGGTAAAGAGAGGCAGACAGACCATGTACACTTTGATATTTCAAGTATTGGGACAGGAGAAAGCAAGAATAAAACACAGGATTTTAAAGGAGTAAGAAATGGAGAGTTTTTAAACAGAAATTGCAGGGATATGCCCGACGCTGGCAGACAGCAGATTTATTTTTCTAGGGTGTATTTTAAAGCATGTACAATATTTCAACATTAAAACGTTCCTGGTACAACACAAAAGTGGAAAGGGGCCCATTTTCTGAAGCAAATCAGCTGCTTTGTTACTTACAGCCAAGGTTCAGGCCCTGTGAATCTGTGCACAGGACTCCAACGATTGAGGGATTCTTCATTCTAATAAAGACAAAACCTGAGATCAGCAATTTTTAAGTATTAGAGGGGAAAGAAACGAAGTCAAGACCGCAGTGTGAGCCTCACATAAATCTGAAACAGTTTAAGAAGTGCCATCTTTTCAGCCCAATAACAGGACAACAGCTCCCTTTGAAATGGTGTCAAAACAGTTCAGGGTGGAGGGAAAGCAGGAACTTTCATAATTGCAAAATGCATTTCATTATTTAGAAATGCTGGTTAATTTGATGACAGCTCAGTTAGGCAATGGGGTAAGCCTCACTGAGAATCCCCTGTTCAGAATGGGGGTTTGCTTCCATTGGAGCAAGAGAGCAGAAAAGCTCAAGGATTTTTGTCAACAGGAAATCCTGCTCCATGGAAGCAGGAGAGAGAAAAAAGAGAGATAAGGAAGAAGAGAGGGTTCTCAATTACCGGGGAGAAAAGAGCAACACTTGCCAGTCCCTTGAAAAATTCCTACCCTCTGTGCCCCATAAAATCATCACCCCCACTTCCTACCAACCAGAAATCATTCTCACCCCACCACTCCCTCTTCATACCTACCCACGTATGCCCATTGCAGATCCTTCCTATGCCAGTGCCCACTTACCCAACACATGCCCCCAATCCAAGTAACCCCAATGCTCCGCCCTCCCCACCCCAGCATCCACCCCACCCCTGGTGTCCCCAAACCACCCCCTGCCAACCCCCCCTCCCAGTACCAATCAGGTGTCCCCAGCCCTCCTCCGACAGTCCTCCTTCCCCTCGCCAGTGCCCCCGGCATCCCCAGGGCTCCCCCTACCAATGCCCCCCACCCCAGCGTTCCTCCTCCCCCCGCCAATACACCCCCCGCCCCCAGTGCTCCCCACGTTCCCCCTCCCTCCAGCCAGCGCCCCCCCGCCCCAGCGTTCCTCCTCCCCCCCAGTGAACCCCCCGCCCCCAGTGCTCCCCAGTTCCCCCTCCCTCCAGCCAGCGCCCCCCCGCCCCAGCGCTCCTCCCCCCAGTGAAGCCCCCCCCCGCCCCCAGTGCTCCCCAGTTCCCCCTCCCTCCAGCCAGCGCCCCCCCACCCCAGCGCTCCTCCCCCCAGTGCTCCCCAGTTCCCCCTCCCTCCAGCCAGCGCCCCCCCGCCCCAGCGCTCCTCCCCCCAGTGAGCCCCCCGCCCCTGGCACGTACGTGTCCTCCAGGTGCTGCTCCAGCGTCCCCTCCATGCTGCTCGGCTGCGCTGTCCCGGGGGGAGGGGGGTGTCTCGGTCTCTCCCTTTTCCGCCCGCCCTTCCTGCGCGGCCCCACCCCCGTGACCGACGCGAGTCGCGCTCCCGGACGGCGGCTCAGGAGGGTCAAATTTTCCAAGGCGAGCGGCGGCTCTGCAGGCGCGCGGCCGGCCGGCTCTCAGCGCCCCCTGGCGGGGCGCCCCGCCCACCCTCCGCTGGGCGCCGGGCTGCTCGAGCCCGCCTCGGGGCAGGGCTTCCTGCTGCGGCAGGCCAGCGGGGTGTGGCGCCCCGCCCCCCGACTTTTCCACCCTCCTGTGCTCCTTTCACCGAATCCGAGACGATCAGGGGTGGAGGGGGCCTCAGGAGGTCACCTAGTCCCACCCCCTGCTCAAAGCAGGACCAGTCCCCAATCTTTGCCCCAGATCCCTAAATGGCCCCCTCGGGGATTGAACTCGCAACCCTGCCAATGCTCAAACCCCTGAGCTGTCCCTCCCATAACCCCAAGATCCACCTCCCTTAGAAACACCTCGCGTACAAAATCAGACCGCAAAATATAAAAGTCTCACAGCCACTAGTACTGAACGACAACGTTTTTTCTCATTTTTAACCCTACCACTGTCAAATACGTCGGCTGTACTTACATTTCCGCGTGACACCTGAGCTTGTTTTTTCACTTGTGAGCCTCGTTTGAAGCCCGAGTCCCACCACCCAAGCGTGTAACTTAGCTTCGCCGTGCCCCCGGTGGCATGGGGCCTCAGGCAACTGCCCTGCTTGCTGCCCCCTGCTGCCAGCCCTGCACTTGCAACCCCCCTAAACCTGTCCCATGACACCCCCCCCCCCCCAGGGGCTGCCACCCCCTCGGTTGAGAAACACTGATCTAGATGAGTTGAGTTCCTTCTGGAAGATTTAACTGGGAATTGGTCCTGCTTCGAGCAGGGGGTTGGACTAGATGACCTTCTGGGGTCCCTTCCAACCCTGATATTCTATGATTCTATGATTCTATGATCTCTGAGTGCCCCCAGGTGAGCCACTTCCCTAAGGTATCAGCTGTTGGTTACGGCGAGAGACAGGGCTTGATGAGTAGTCTGATTTGGAATGAAAAAAATCCCACGGCAGATGCCCAATCTAGGCCCGGCCCTGTTCCATTGCCTGCTCCTCCTCTAGGTCCCTGAGCTCATGTGTAAGATGGCAGGTGTTTAATACTTTAACACACTTGTTTTCAGTAAGCGATAGAATAGAGGAGCCCATCTACTGGGGTGTGACGCTCTTCACTCCCCCCCCGGAGGGCATTACACTTGCATCCAAATGGAGACCGCACTGACTGGAACCGCACACCTAAATCCGGTATGCAGAGGCCTTTCCAAACAAAATACCTGACCAGCAGCCGGCACAAGCATACGCATACTCGAGCTAAGCGCTGTGTAGAGACTGGGTTCCAGGTCGCATGGGAGTTCACGGCTCCTGAGGGCTGAAATCACAGCTACTCCAAACCAAGCCTCCCCAGCTGCCGGGAATGGAGGGCGGGGGGGGAGTTCATAACTACGACGCTTCCAGCTTGTCCCAACAGGAGGCGCTGAGGTGACAGCTACCCTGCACCAAGCCGGAGTCTGTTACTTTGCACCTTGTGTTGTCATTTATACTGCTGGAAGTCAGGGGTAAAAGGCTCCCAGATCAGCATGGTCTTGTTTTCTGCCCACTGGTGTAAGCGATGACCCACGGTGCAGGACAGGGGTGGCCAGCCTGTCGCTCCGGAGCCACATGCGGCTCTTCAGAAGTTACTATGCGGCTCCTTGTCTAGGCACCGACGCTGGGGCTGGAGCGACAGGCGCCAACTTTCCCATGTGCCGGGGGGAGGGCCTCAATGGTCAACCCCTGGCTCTGCCACGGGGTCTGCCCCCACTCCACCCCTTCCCACCCCCTCCCCTGAGCCTGCCGTGCCCTCACTACTCCCCCCCCCAGAGCCTCCTGCACGCCACAAAACAGCTGATCGGGAGGTGCGGGGAGGGAGGGGGCGGGGCTGCCAGTGGGTGGGAGGCGCTGGGAGGGGGGTGGGGGAGCTGATGGGGGGCTGCTGACGTATTCCTGTGGCTCTTTAGCAATGTACATTGGTAAATTCTGGCTCCTCAGGCTCAGGTTGGCCACCCCTGGAGCAGGACAATGGTGAGTCAGACCCAGAATCTATAGGCCTGGGATTTTTTCCTCCCTATTAAGCTGGACTCTGAAGCTGGTTTATTGCCCTATTGACGCAGGGCGGACGTGACGAATGGAAAGGAAGACGCCTTGCGTAAGAGACATTGGCGTAAATGCCTCCTTGGCTGCAGGGTGACGCGTTCAGGGCAGCGTGACGCTGGCTAGGTGGGAGTGCAGATTGGATCAAATCGCCATGAGTCGCCCCGTCCCCACAGCAAATGGAATTAGCAGCTGGAAATGAATGGAAAATTCATTACAGAGGTCGCTGTTGGAAATTACAGATGGAAATTTATTCAAGACCATTCAGCTGGTGCTGAAGCCTCTCATCTATTATAGGATTTCAGTTTCTGGGAGATGCAGATGAGACCCAAGAACATCCATTGTGACTCCCTTATTCCACAGGCATAGTCTGACTTCCATATCTGGGGGGGTGGGGGGGGCGAGGGAGCTCCTGCCAGGCCAATGGGGCCCTGCGTGAGGCAGGCAAATTCTGCCCCTGCCTGAGACTTGCAGGTTAGAATCATTGGTCAGGGCTTGCCCCACGTCCATATCTAAGCTGAGGGCCCAAGCCTGCAAGCTGTGGCAGATGCAGGCTCAGGGGTCTGCTCCATGGAAGAGTGATCGAGATCAGAGGCAAAGTGAACTGCGTTTGACCCACCTTTGGATACCACTGGTTTAAATGGCATACCACTAACTGGCAAGGTGCTTCAGAAGCCAGAAGCTCAACGTCAAAAACTAGACCATTAAGGGATGGTCAGATCTAGGGCTTAGTCAAATCCTTCCACACTGGGGCAGCACCTTCTCATTTGGGCCATTGATTTTATTTAAAGGGATACTACCCAATTCCTAAAAGAAAAGGAGTACTTGTGGCACCTTAGAGACTAACCAATTTATTTGAGCATGAGCTTTCGTGATGAAGTGGATGAAGTGAGCTGTAGCTCACGAAAGCTCATGCTCAAATAAATTGGTTAGTCTCTAAGGTGCCACAAGTCCTCCTTTTCTTTTTGCGAATACAGACTAACACGGCTGTTCCTCTGATACCCAATTCCTGTACACTACATTCCCCCCAACTCAGACTGGAATAGAAATGATATTCCAGCCTTCCCTTTCTGGCCAGCTCCAGTTGGTCGGTCCCAGCTTTCCTGTGTAATGATCTGAATTGAGTGTTGGGGGCTGCATATTAAATCAAATGGCACGTTAATTCTGGCACTTCAGCACTCTCGCCCTGATGAGAAAGTCGGAGGCAGCGAGAATAATGCCTCTCTTGATAGTCCCAATTGCCAGCAGCAAAATATCCCATCTGTCAGAGTGGCGCTGGCCCTCGCTGGCAGGCAGTGTCAATTACTTGGGGGAGATAAAAATTTATCACTCTGTGGACATGGAGATATGAAACAGAGCCAGACCTCCTCCATCATCCCAGGGAGCAGCGCATCCAGCCGCCCTGGGGCAATTCCCTCACCCTCCTAAATCCTACACTGCTCACCCTACATTTGCAATTCACTCCAGGCACTCGTACTCCATGAACGTCACGTACACATGCCTAATGCTGTACACTTTCCTCTACCAGCCTACCCAGAATCCTGAAGAAAGCCCCGCAGTGCAATTGTGTTCATTCCCCCAGGAAAGCATCATCTCTCTGCCGAGCAGCAGCAGATGTTGGGGGCCTAGCAGGGTAGCTTCCCATTGGCAGAGATCTCAGGGATAAGTCTGGGTATATTCGTAAAGTAACTTGTTTATTTACACCGAAGACAGCAGTCCTGGAACAGAGGTGGGCACACAGGCAATCCCTTATTTCTGAAATCTCAGCCCAGCCACCGCTGCCCAGTTAGCAGCAAGCAACTCTGCCCCATGAATTGATGCTCGTTGGCGAGTTTAAGGCAGAGAAGAACCTCGCTAGCTGTTCTAAGACTACCCTGAACACAATATTGAAAATTCCAGGACCAAACACTGCTCGCATGCTAAGGAAAAGAACATGTACAGTTCTTTGTAACGGGACACTCTGGTGATTATCACCATAACAACAGTTGTTGTGACTGTCTGGTCAGAGGGAAGTACAGACAGAGAAGGAGATCCTGCAGACAAGTTGGGAGCTAAAGCTTATGGTCCATTGTTGTTGGCATTATCCAGGGGAAGTCTGACCTTGTGCATGTGTGTAGACTTTATTTGGAGCAGAGTTAGGGTGACCAGACAGCAAATGTGAAAAACTGGGACAGGTGTGGAGGGTAATAGGAGGCTATGTAAGAAAAAGATCCAAAAATCGGGACTGTCCCTATAAAATCAGAACATCTGGTCACCCTAAGCAGGGTGGGAAAGTCTTCTGCTCACACTACAGAGGCATCAGTTCACTGTTAGGTACTTTCTTTCATGTAAGTAAATAGCGCTGGGGTTGGCATCCCAAAGCCTCCACCTGAGAAGACCAGATCTAAGCAGTGGTGGCATACAGCCATCAGAAGACCTTCCGAAGCGTTCTCTTGCCCTGAAGGCTAATGACGATCTGAATTAATGCTCCCTCGATATCTATGCAAATGGGTGCACAGCCTCTGCCCGGCCATTTGCAGCTGATGTCTTCGATTGACGGTAACATTGGCAGAAAGATATTTTGCAATGATGGGTGTTTGTGAGGGGGAGGGAGGAATTCTGCACTTGATGCTTCCTGGGGGAAGAACTGGGCATTAGTCAGGTTGGGACTGAACTGGGGCCCCCGGCCATATTGGTCACTCGTTTACACAAAGGGCAGCGCGAGCTCAGAGAGGTTGTCCTGAGATAGCCGGTAAGCGGTAGGGGACTCCTGGCTGTAACCATGATGAAATAGCAGCAAATCCTCCCGTGCTAACACACAATCTGTTTGAGCATCTCTTTCGATACCCTTTAATATTTGCACATCAAGGTTGCTAAAGCCAAATTCAGTGA